GTGCCAAATTTGGGTGGTGGGAGTCTTGATCGAACTAGGATGTGAAGAGATGGTGACTCAGTGATGTCTTCGGTGGCTGTCTAATTTGGGTGGTGGGTGTCTTGGTTGAACTGGGGAGGTTTTGATGACATGTTATCATTATCGTTAGTTATTACTGTTATTGTTTTAATAATCATCATTATTAAATCACTTTTATTGTTATTATTATTACCATTAACATTATTATCATCATTATAATCATTATTATCATTATCATTATTAAACTCACTACCATTGTTCTTATTTATTATTATTATTATTATTATTATTATTATTATTATTACTATTGTTGTTGTTGTTATTATTTCTATTATTATTACGATTATCATTAACATTATTGTTATTTTGTTATCATTGTTATTATTATCATTGTTATAATTATTGTTATTTTGCTATCATTGTTATTATTATTATTGTTGTAATTATTGTTATTATTGTTACTATTAACATTATTATTGTTATTATTATTATCATTTATTATCATTATTATAATTATTATTATTATCATTATTATTATTATTATTATTGTTGTTGTTGTTGTTGTTGTTGTTGTTGTTATTATTACTATTATTATTACGATTATCATTAACATTATTGCTATTTTGTTATCATTGTTATTATTATCATTGTTGTAATTATTGTTATTATTGTTACTATTAACATTATTATTATTATTGATATTGATATTATTATTATTATTATATATTATTATTATTATTACTATTAACATTATTATTATTATTATTATCATTATTATAATTATTATTAATGTTATCATTATTATCATTATTATTACTATTATTACTGTTAACATTTATTATTATTATCTTTTTATTATTTATTTATTTATTTATTTATTATTATTATTACTGCTAACATTATTATTGTTATTATCGTTATCGATACTATCGTTTTAGTAGTAGTGATAGTAGTAGTAGTAGTAGTAGCAGTAATTATTATCAACTCATTATCATCTTCATAATTATTACCAATCTTTTTTATCATCATTTGAGGTGGTAGTTGTTGTTATTGTTATCATTATTATCATTATTACCATATATCATCATTATCATTATTATAGAGTACACGATCTCGAAATGTTGAATATGTCACACTGAAGGGCCATCAGTGCGACGGCTCAGCACCACCTACACAGCAATGAGGGATCAAGAATAGTCTCTTGCATTCTTGCACACATTTAATCCTTTCTCAGAGCTACAAACAAATTAATAATATTGTAAACCGTGTACTGATGTGGAACTCACTTTACATTATGCAAATTGATTCTGTAGACCGAACATCTGTATCAAAACCAATAAAGAAACATTAAATAATCACATCTATCCCAAAGCAGGTAGCATTGTGCTTGCTATTCGCACAACAGCAAGCACAACTCCAGCCTCTTTTCTAGATGACACCGAAGTTCTTGGGGTTACCACAGCCACTGAAACAGTTCTCTATCACTGCCAGTCCTTTCCCAGACTGACGCAAGTTAAGAATGACACAGAGCAAAACGCAACTTCTATGAGCATGAGGTGATGGTCTATCCCAGTGCTGGCATTCTCAACCAACCAAAGCCCAGATTAAAGGACGGCCAATCAGAACTAAGCACCGCTCGTACATGGACCAATTAACTTCAAGGCTGAGAAACACTAGTGCAAATGAGTTTTATCAGTAAGTATTCAAAGCATGTTTAAATCCAGTTCTTACTTCCAAAAAATATCTTGATATTAATAATAATCAACTGAAAACACGCTTATGATTAAGTATTGTTACGCCGGCCACCTCTCTACCTGCCACCAACACGAGGCAGGCTAGGCAAACGACGTGTTATTCACAGGGTCGTGAACACTGAACAGCTCCAAGAGGCACCGAGTACCACACCGTCCCAAAACACCACGAGGGAAAACGCCACGGGCGAGGCAGGGCACGAAAGAAAAACTCACAATCACTGTCTTTCCTTTATTTACACAGTTATTTACCCGTACACTTTTCTACAGGCACAATACAGGAGGCAAACCAGCACATCACACTGCACAATACAGCATATAACAGGGCAACACAAAGTATATCAGGCTGGAGAAGGGCACACGCGAGGTCATCACAGCAGCGGCACCAAAACTCGACCCCCCCGTCTGCCCCCTTCCTCTGCCGCCGCGTCATCTTCCTGTCAAAACTCGCCAACACGCGTTCGCACGCGCTCGCACACGTTTGCACAGAGACAAAGACCCTCTGGCGTAGCAGTATATTTTTATTAATTACAGATGCTACGAGAGGCGGGTTATTTGTTGCCAGGATAGATTTGGCGGGAAAATGCCGTAATGTTTATACCATATTACGGATTTCATCTTTTATTTAATAAACAAGATATCCGAGTCATAACGACAAAATTTAAATCATTAACCTATACAACAACCTATACGCACATAAGTTTCATACAAAATGATCCAAATACTATGATTTTAACTCAAAAATATCAGTAGCAATAATGAAGTTTTTCAGCTTTTGATATTTTCTTTGTTACATTCATTCTTGCGCTTTAATGGATTCTTCTTAAACAGTGCTTTGTAAGGTGATAATGTTATTATATTAGTCTCCTCTGTTTCTTATTTTCTCTCTCGCCTTTGCTTCTGTTTAGGTGGGCTACAGAGACTTGTCAAAATTTCCCTTGGTTCTCTTTCTTTTGATGTCCCAGGTTGGGGGCTATGAGGTGGTTAGTATGTGTAGATTCCTCCTGAGTTAGATTTGCAGCTGTGAAATCTTCATCTGTGAATATTTGGTCACAGAAGGGCCAGAAGCCTGTTGATCTAAATCCATTCACAGCTTTTTCAGTGGTAGCTATTTTCTCGTAAGCAGTGGCAAATATACCTATTATATCAAACTGCGAGATTCTTTTCCCTAGATTGGAAATCAAATTGTCTGCAGCTCTATTGCAAACTGCCTTACATGACGGGAAGTAAGATCTGCCATTTTGTGAGTGCAGTGGAGTGGGGGGAATATCACAACAACGTCATTTTCTCTAGTAAAATCAGTAAATCATCTAAAATTATACAGTATTTGTCCTGCTGGGTTGGTTTGGCGTGTAACACATAGTGACAAAGCTACTTCATCCGTCCAGCCATTAGAAACGCATGTTCCGATCCATCAATCAATGATCAAGGGGGTCCTCCTCCATTCAACAGAGCCTTGGAAAAACTGTTTTCTAGGAAAAATAAACATTGGAGGAGTTAATGTCCCAAGACCATTGACAGCACATAAAACTGTCGTTGTTTTCCCACGTTCGGTGCAAGTCATTTTCGCCACAGCTCTTGATCCCTTTGTTGCCACTGCACTGACAGGCTTCTGAACATTCAAAATTCCTGTTTCCCCCATTGTTCCATATTTGACGTGGATCAAAGCTTCCCTCAGCATGATTGAATCCAACTGCCCTTGCAATATTTGTTGCATCTGGCTTCCGGACTGATAACTGTTGGTATCGCTTTATGAATCCTGCAAACCAGTCTTTTCCAGGTATTTTCAAAGTGTGTTGGAAACAATGTGGAATTTTCATCAAAATCATACGCAAGACGCTGCACCTCTGTTGTACTTAGGCCGATTTTTTTTCCATAGCTTGTATTTGGAACACTAGCATTTCTTCATTTGCTTTATTTAGCTCCAACCGGAAACGTCCAAGTCTTGTTTTTTTTTTCCTAGCTTGGCCACTTCTCCATCCCTGTAGCGCTATAATGTCTTTCAAGGAACTCCATAATTCCTTGAGGCAGAATTCACAGACTCTCGACTACGCATTGCTTGGGGAGCACCTTGGAGCGCCTTCTCTCCATAGGAGTTGTTTTTCTTTCGTAGACACGTGGAATGTCGATCATATAACGTATAATGATTTTCGTTTTCATTTTCAAGATGTACTAATTCATATGAGGTAGAT